GCCTGTCAAAATCTCTGTTCAAAGCCAGCTGTGGTATATGCTGCAAGGGATAGGAGGCAACTGCTGGGCCTACACCATGTAAATCTCTAGATTCAGCACGTCCCCACAGTCCTTCTGTGCCCTTGGAGGAGGAGCCCTTGGAGGCTGGGGAGGGGGTGCACTGGGGTTCCACATGGCCCCAAGCATGTGGGTGATTGACAGGTGGCACCAGAGGAGGCCAGCCTGTAATTCTGCCCAGCACTGCCTTCCCCTCATCTAGCCTCAACACCTGGACACTGGCTTCAGAAAGCCAGCTTTCTTCCTGTTTCTGCAGCAGAAAGCAATTTGCTCTTTCTTTTGGGAACATTGTTAATTCTGTAGCTTAAATAGCAGTAGCCTGTATGCTGCAGTGTTGAGGAGTCATGCCTCATAATCTGGTGATGACGGCAGGGGTAGGGCAGATGGCACCTACAGTTGCATATAATGAAATGTTTCTTTAAGGGGAAAAAAACCCCTAGGCAATAACATCCAATCAGGAAATGCCAGATTTATGATTTTTTGTGCAATCTTAATTTGGCTGCGTTCTGCAGAGGCCTTATGATGCTGTCTTTAATTATATGGGTCACACGCTATTTCTTTCTGCAGGTTCCCACCTCAGTACGGTGCACAGAATGGACATACAAGGAGCAGACAGAATTAAGGTTGAACTAGCATCCATAAATCTGGCATTTTGAGGACTTGGCTTTGCTATACAAATAATACGGGTGGGGGTAAGCTTGGCTATACAGTGTGAGCAAAAATGGCAACTTTACTGACCTTCCAGTATTGTCGCTGAAACTAGGGTACATCCCATAGTAACTATGTAAAATTTTCTGTCATCTTCCTATATGGTAATCCAACTGGGATGTGTAAATCAATTCAGCATTGTTGGAGAGACTGCTGTGTCCCTGCACTGAGAAAATTGTGGTTGTGGCACGCAGTAGGTGACATCCTGCTGACCGAGGAGTGTTGTCTTCAGCCTCAGCTTGCTGGTTTTATTAAATAGTCTGCTCTACAAGCTGGCATCAAAGCAGAATTATCTATATTACACGGCCATGTTTCCATCCAACAACAGAGCTTCAAAATCTGAAGTCTGAGCCTAATCTGAGTCATTAACTGAGGCTGGTTTGATGGACATTTGACAGTGGAAGATGCACAGCTTTCCTATCTAAGATCATCAGCAGCTGGTTTTAATATCATTAAGAAAACAGCAATAAAGGGGTTTTTTCATGCAAATGCTACCAAGTGATTCCAAAGACAAGTAACATTTTAACAGCAATTCTGTTTAAAATCTATTACCCAGTGGATAGCTTTTATGGATGACAAGATCAGGGGTTGGGAGGAAGATATTTCTTTCCTGTAACATGTAACATTTTCACTTTCCCTTTTTTTTTCTCTCAGGAGAAACAGCAGGAAGACAGCAGGTCCCCACATCCCCACCAGCCTCTGAAAACAGCAGTGCAGCACATAGTATTGGCAGCACACAAAGCACCCCCTGTTCCAGCAGCAGTACAGCCTAACCCAGGGGGAGTAGAAGGCCAAGGAGCAGCATAGGAGGGCAGAGGTTCAAAGGGACTGTTTGTTGACACTAGCTTTCCGACGTTGAAAGGATTAATTTGGTTTCTTTTGAAAAATTAGGAGGGATTTCTCTATAGAAGAAAATCACCTGATTTTCTGGATAAATAGAGTCTTTGGACCTTTCTACAACACATTATGCTACATGTGACAAAGCTACTAGTTTTACAGTACTGCAGCCTGTTAAAAGGGTCTGCAGGCTCTCAATGTGAAATACATGCCAGTTTGAAAAATGCTGCTTTGTCTATAAAATAACAAGTTTGAATTCCTAAACCTTCTCACTGACACAAGGTGTTTTTCAAAGGGATTTCAACAATAGGAGGAGAAAGGAGATTTTAGGTCAAAATAAGAAAGTTTCAAGCTCAGATCTGTTTGGTTAAAACATTTTATTACTTCAGCTACATTTATCCACTTCCAAGCAGCTTCTCATTTTGCTGAGCTTGACATGCTACAGCCTATTAACCGCTTTCATGCCATGTGTGCAGCTTCAGGTTTGTGTGTTTCAGATGTTTGTTTAATATGTGTTACTTTTATAATACACCCTAAAACAACATTCCCTTTCTTGTTCGCTAGGCCAAACGGTCTACAATTTTTTTATCCATTCTATGCATACACACACATACAAATACTCAAGAAAAATAATGTCCTAATGCACTAATGTAAATGTGTGTGTATGTGCAATGTCTTAAAGCAACTGTCTGTATACTAAAGTATACAGGATCTTTCTTAACCTAGCATGGTTATTTTTTAGATTGGGAAAATTTATCTCCGTGTGTCCCACTCTACCCATGAAAATGTTTTTAAATATTTATAACTGGCTTTTTAGGTATTACACATTTCAAGATTTATTTACATAAAAGCGTATAAAAAATAAGAGGCTAGGTTCTGTATTCTTTGTGGCCCACATTTCCATTAACACCACTGATTGTTCTGAACACACAAAGAACACATTTGAGCCAACTCTTTGTGTACATGTATACAAACAAAACTACTTTTTTAAGATGACAGTCCACAGTGGTTTGTGTCAAACTGCTAATTAGTCATATGAACATTGCAATTGGATATTCCCAAAGTAGCACTGGAATGTGAAAAGGACAAACAGGTACTAATTTTCACAGTGTTTTTTTAGTGTCATTGCCATACCCTAGCCTTAAAATAGATGCCAGATTAAAAGAAAGATTTATTGTGAAATTCTTTGACAAATATGGTGTCACTTTGCAACTGTCATATGTTCTACTGATTCCTCCACAGATAAAAATTAAATGCTATCCTTCTTTCAGAGGATATGAGTAACTGCCACTAACTTCAGTGGGGGCTACTGGTGTCTGGCAGTAGGAGAGTAGGTTGCTACTACAGGTACCAGGTTTCTATTGCTAATTTTACACTTATGCCTTGTATACAATTCATGTGCCAATGAATGGTCATCCTGTAGAATGAGTACAAAATGTGCAATAGAGAGAAACACTCAGGATCCGATAGCAAAATTTTGTCCTTAATTTTTTTTAAACACATTTGGCCCTGATCCTGCAAACTCTTGCCCATGAGCCTCTGTATGCACATGGACTACTTCAAAGACTTAAGCGTGTGCTTACCTTTACGTGGTATAGGTGGTCTCAGCCTGGGTGTGATGTTACACATCTGCAAAAAGGTTTTGCAATATCAAGTCCATGAGGAGTCCTTTGGAGTTCAATGGGACCTTTATTTATCTGACTAAAGTGACTCATGTATAGAGTGTTTGCAGGATTGGTTCTCTTCTGAGGTGTCAGGAGAACAAATATGCTACCTGTGTGTTTGCAAATAATGCGCTTTGCCTAATCTTCAGCAGAATGTATTGTGTAAGCATATTCTATATGTAAAATCTTTAAAGATGTCTTCAAAGAAGACAAGAGTCTTTAAGTCAATCATAGTTATATTTTACTACATTAAATTTGTGTATAAAGATATATTTAAATGTTTTAGATAAATGTATGTTACTCTATATGAAACGTTTATTTCAGTTACTGTGAATTTTACATTTTTGTAAATTTTTTCCTGTTTTAATCCTTTCCTTCTCAGATTTTTTTTAAAGAAAGTAGAGAGTCTCATAGGAAGTATTAGAAAATTCTGTTGTTGGGATGGACAGGTTTAAAACCGTTTTATGTAAGATAGCTAATTGTATATTTCTGAGAGAGAAACATGCTGCATTATCAATGACTTTATCAATAATTTACTCTAATTTTAAAATAATTTACAGATTTATATTTTAGACTGACAAACTAAAAAAACGCAATGTATAAAAATGAGTAGCTGATTTTTTTCGACTTGTATTCAAGATGCAGTTTAATTTAATGGACAGATTTTGTACTTAATGTTTAATTAAGAATATGTTGAGCAATCTGAACTAATGAAAAGTTTCCACAGGTAGTTTTAGAGGACTGAACAGCCATTTCTATAACCAAAATAAAAACAAAAAACCCCCCAAAATAAAACAAAAACAAGCAAAAAAAAAAAAAAAAAG